GCCGGAACCAGACACGACCGTTCAGGTAAGCAGTCAGTAGAAGAATGAACCCAAGTAAGGCATGGCATAAAACAGAGAGCGTTTAAGAGAGATAGACCGAGCATAGGCACAAAGATAGAATTTAATTGGCTACTTAACCAGGTAGGAAAATACAGATGAAAATCAATAAATAAGATAAACTCGACAGAATAGTACAAAGTTAGACATGGGTCAGCAAAATAACAGTTCACAAAATACTCTGATTGGGCCATGAGTTCAACTGTCTGACTAAACGGATCGAGGTAAAAACACATACACACAGTTCATTAAACAAGCAGGGATAGACACGTTAGACATGGATAATTGGGTTGCAACAACGCTAGGCTGATCCGGGACAGGTTGACTTGATTCAAGGATGGGAATAGAATTGATCTTACAAAAGATATCTACACATAATGATAAGCGTTGTTTCTGATCGAGACCAATAAGAAAATGTTTTGGGCGTCGTTAAAGCAGTGTAATTAACTATCCCCCCACTTTCAAAGGGTGACCGAATAACGAGGATGATACGGCGTTCGCACCGCTTGAAAACAAAAGGCCATCAGAGAATCCCTCCCTACAAATAACCCGGTAACTACTCTGTGAATCTTCCCACAAGACTGAAAACTACTCATTGGCTGAGATGAGCAGTTATACGCCACTCATATCACCAAGTAATGCTTTATAGCAGGGTTGTGCTGATTTTAAAGACAGACAGCCATTTCACTTGTTTGAGGCCGATATTGGCACCAGTGAACCCAGTTAGACCGTGAAAATATGACAGGTTTTCATCCGAAATAATCTTCAAGATGCAGCTACTTCAAATCGGCGGTTATCAAACAGTATGTTACGGTCCCCCGGGAAACCAATAATTTTGATTGTTTGAATGATTCTGAATCCGTTTCCCTTTAACTTATGGAATCTGCTGACGGTCAACCTGGGTACTCTTTTGTCAGTTTATACACTCATAAGAAGGCTACACTATAATGCAAATAAAGATCTATTTGCTCGCAAATATCTGGAAAGTAGATCTCCTTCACAAAAAATATTATACCTACTTTAATGTACTACATTACTTCTAACTTTCTTATCCCTGCACCTGTCGATCAAATTCCCTGATTTATCCTTGTTGTTTGTGTGTGCTTTCATTGTCTCCAACCATCTTATATCCTGCTGTACTTCCCTACCTTCCGCCTGTTTTGTTTAAATATTCCTTCGAATCTGTTTCCGCTGACCTAATACTACTTTCTCTGAAATTAATGTCAACCTTACTGGAGTACTGCCTAGAATCACATCAAAAAGTTTGCCTACCTCCTCTCGTCGTATTCAACGGAAGATCTCAGTCTCTAAGCCCAAACTGCACGAAATTACTTAGAGCAAAGGCATATCACAGCAATTAGTTTCAATTTTACTGCGTTCTTAAAACACCTCAGCTTTGGCTACCTGAACACGAGGCGGAATTTCAAAAAGCGAGTACGTGCCTTTGTTATTTCTTGATTGGGAATATCAGACATGTTACTAGTTTATGTAGATCGATGGAATCATTATTAAAACAAGTAAATTGCTTCTAGTGTTATTAAATAGCGTAGCAGCATCTCAGATGCTGGTAATTCGCCCCCCCCCCCGAGTTTTATATTGTGCACGAATAATTATCGGATATTATCCTACCTGACTGCAAGGATGAACTTGTATGAATGAAGGCACAATAAAATGCATGGCTAGTCGGGCTGAAAATTTTATCTGAGTGAAAAGGGTGCAAATAGCTCAAGTAAGATGTTTTGTGGAAGTCCACAAACCCATGGGTAGCATTTTCTTCAGGGCAAAAATACTTGAAACGCATTGAAGAAAGTGGGATAGTTGTCTGCAGCCTGCTCAGAAATGTTTGCAGTGGACTCTAGTTCAGCCCCAACGTCTTCAGTGCACTTCTACATCTAAGAGTATTGGAAGAAAATGTTTGAGAAAAGGTTGATTTTTGGTTAGACTTCGTCTGAATTGCCTCATTTCTATCACGTCACTCGAGAAGCATGATGTATAGGTTAAACGGCAAACGCTTTTGTGCTTATGTTACACTGAATGGATGCTTCCTTACATATTGCGGTCCCACCGTTTTGTAAATATTCCATAAGTTACTTTGTGGCAGGTGGAAAATGCATTCAGGAGTATTGATTGGAGTGTGAAATTAATGGTCACAAGTTCTTAGACGTAACTTGTCGCCTTTCTCCAATGTTTGACTTTGTCTGACCAATATTAGTAGGTATCTTCTTGTAAAGGTACGGATCAAATGAAAGGAAACTTTCCGGAAGGATTCCCATCTTCTACCGTGCATTAGATTGGTAGAAATGAATCCTCTGGCTTGTTACACTTATTTTTGATTTTTATGAATTCCTTGTAATATTCTCCTCTGTTTGTAACCTTTGTCTTTATTCAATTTAACGTGAACCATTATAACTTAGGCAACTAAGTTTAATCCCTATTCCTTGCACAAGGAGTGTTGCGCTTAGTGTGACACATGAGAAATTCAACCCGAGTTATCTATATAACTCGGCTTGACTTAGGGTTATTGGAAAATATAAATAACTGACTTACTGAATTCTCAACGTTAAACAGTGCATAAAACTAAAAGTTATCACACTTCATAGAAGTACACAAAGATAAGGAAAAACATCAAGATACCGCAGTAAACTGAAACTGTAGAATTTAATGGATGAGTGTTCATAAAGTGAATGCATGTACACCATTGAAAACGATTTTGACCCATTGGACTAGCACTTCCCATCCATTTGATTTTTGAGTCTCGAGGACCCTAGCCAGATAGTCTGAACCTCCCTACGTGGCCCAAACCATCGGTCTTAAGTCCCAGAGATTGCTGCCATGTTTCGATCTACCCTTAACTCTGTCAACAAAACACTTAGATAACATTGTTCCTTGAGGAAGGCGATTATTCGGCATGCATAACACATGTCCCAGCCATTTCAATCGATACAGCTTCACAGTCTTGTCGATTGACTTTTCACAGTAACCTAACACTACTCCTGACTCCAGTAATGCTCACCAATTTCATATCAGTTTATATAGGAGATAAGACGCAAACGACTATGGCCAAAGATAGCTAGTCTGTCTATGTTTTCCACTTTCAATGTTCATTTTTCAAAGCTATAAAGTAGGATAATGTAAATTGATGAGTAGTACACACCCTTCCATGGAAACGCAGACATCATGTCTGCACCAGAGATGACGTAAGCTCGTAAATGGCATACACACTTTTTGTATCCATGCTGTGATTTAGACATCAATCAGTTCATTGAGGACGGTGCAGCTTCCTCAACAACTTAGGTGGTCAACATGCTGAGTGAGTTGTGGTAACGTTCCTTTATGAGCACTCCTTTCCTGACCAGATGTCGCCATAACACTGCTCAATCGACAGAGCTGAATGCCGCTTTTGAGTCGAGAAACATGGCAAGTGTTGGACGCTGGTGATCATGTCCATTTTACAGAATCTGTCAAAAGGTGAAAACATAACCAGTACGCCCTCGCTCACGCTTGGTTTTCACGGGTTCATTCCTCTCAAACACTTAGTCAGCTCAGAACTATTGAATCTAGCATTTTAGCTGTGTTGTTCAAGTTATCAATCATGTAGTATCGTACTATACTAAGTAAAATAATCTAATTTATAAAGCCACAGAAGGAGTCACACGATATCGACTATGTATCCACATTGAATTGGAGGAAAAAAGCATCCGCAGAAGTGTGAGAACATTTTAGTCAAATCTCACCTGCGAATTACAAACTGGCCCTTAATGATCTGTGCCTATCCATGGCTTATGGGACAAGGACTGGTTATGGCATACCATCGGAACCCATCTATGTATATGGAGATTTGTCTAACATCTTATAAACTGGGATAATCAGTGTTTCACACCAGTTCATCGGGACTGTTTCAGATTGCCATTCATTACTTGAGAGTTAATTAAATTCCTTCTTTGGAAAACGTTTCACTTACCAGTGGGTTTTTTGCAGCCCGTTTATATAGTTGTCTAATATTACCCACCGCTGATGTTTTCCTATCGCTTTTGCTTTCATCACCCACCACTGTTCCCAGTCGTTGCGAAGGCCTTTAGTTAGCTTACCATCATGTTATAAGCTCATGGGGATCAGTATTCTTGCACCAATCACAACATAAATCTACTGACATTTACTAATTTTTGGCTTCAAGTTGTCAACAGTCTTTGCTACTGTTTTAACAGTAGACTGGATATTACACCAGGCTTCCTCAGTACGGATATTTACTGTGAACGTCAAATACGCTTTTAACTATTTCTTTCCTGAATAAAGACTTCGTACTCTTGTCAAGTTGACAGTTTCGTAGGTACCCGTTTTCCGTGCCACTTCAGTCGTAGGCATATAGGGGCATAGATTAGTGTGTATGTCATAAGTCCAAGTTTACATTTCTTAGTTGTTTGTTAATCTGTACTTCAGCTAAAACGGAAATAAGATATGACAAGTTTGTCAAGGAAAGCAACTGCATATCTAAAAACAACCTCTTTAATTTCCCTCTAGATGTGAAACAATATGTGTATTTCAAACTCATGTTTCCTGAAAGTCGAATTCTCTCCAGGTTAATTCGATCGCTGCACTCACACAATAATTCTGCGTGATAATATCGGCTTACTTTATTTCCTTTCTTTTCTAAAGTTTCACTGTTATTTTATTATTTTGGTTTACATTTACACTATTTACTTTATGTAGATGTAAGGTGTCATAACTGTCATCACTAGACAGTACTGCTATCTTGTTAATTTTTCTGTTGTCTAGTATTTTTCTTCTTTTGTAGGATTCCTTACTTTTCGTTGTATTAAGTAGTGATGTTCTTAACAGGTGAATTGCTGTTGGAATCTTTGTTTTGTCCTACGCCTTTGACTATTTAAACCACACAAATACCTATTATTTCCGCTGTGATGTCTTTTGTGCCAGGTATAAAATTCATGAGTTCAAAAGTAGAAAAACCTGATGTCTCATCTTGGATTCAAGATATTGCAAAGAAACGCTTGAATATCGCAACAAGTGTAGCAGAATTTAAATATGCTAAATGTCGCGTTCGTCAATTAAAAGGACCAAATCATTTTCCTTCAATAGAAGACGATTTTGAAAAGCAAACTCATGAAACCTTATCAAAGTCAGATCATAAACTGGGAGTTCTTTATTGGATGATACGTGAACAAAGAGTACAAGGTAAAGAAAATTTTAGTCTTCAAGTGAAATTCATATCAGTAATACGTTCAAGTTTCAACGTACTTATTCATTTATTCGTTGAAATTTTATTTTATGACTGTCGTTTGTGTGACTAATTGATTAGAAGTGCTAAAGGTTTACAAAGTTACCTCGAAAATTCTTCAACTGTTAGTTTGCAGGGATTTGATTGGTTACAGGTTTGAACAAAGTCTAACATCGGTTAAATAGCCACTGTGGCCAGTACAGGGAGTACTGGATAACTGTTTCTTCCTAGTTATGTACTCTTCATCGGTACTCACCCACTGAGGGTCAATCCCATGAACTTCCGATTACAAGGAGAGCTCGTAGACCATTCAGCCACTAGGTCCAGTGGACCAACTCTCAATACATAACTGCTTTGCCAGCCAATGTCACCGACGAGTGATTGGTGAGCTCACACTAGGCCGAAACATCTGTCTAGTACTCCCCGGTTTTTTATAGATCTCGAATTGATGCCAACCCGTAAGGACTAGTGAAAACTGTTTGCATCCTACAGAATTTCAACGCCACAGCAGATATAAATTTGATGTAAGGTAGAGTTTTCGCCAAAGAAAAGACTCGTTCACTCCATAACATAAGCGTTTGTCGCAGCTGTACTTTGACTTTTTTATTGACACTCACGTTCAGCATGAGCGAACTGTCACTCCCACCTCGAAAATAATGAAAACACCTGAAGTCTAGACAGAAAAAAGGTGAAAATTAAAACAATGAAAACATACACTAAGAACAGGAGATATAAGAAGAATAAGGCCAATAAGTAAGTACTAAGAGGGAATGGTTGCTAACATTTTCAAAAAAAGACTTAATTAAAAAGTAAATTAGGTTTTGGAGTTAAGCGTCCATGGGTCAACTTCGTATCTGTTTCTTATTAAAGGCTTGAAGGTCAATTCTAATCATATTTTCAAAGTAAAACTAACAACTGATCTTTATTTTCGAAACACTGAAAACTTCACATTTTAACTATATTTTATATTTCTAAACTCTCTTTTAACTAGAACAGTTGTTCTGTTACTAAATCACGAAAAAGTGTTCTCTAAGATGGCTGTGTTAAGTGCAACTAACTGATGAGTCGTCATTGCCTCTGTCGGTTTCTTTTAGACTGAAATCTGTTTTCTTCAATATTCTCATTATTGAAATTAAAACAAGACATATAAGCCGACAGTAATATCAGTAATAATGACAATAAGTTTCGATGAAGAAAGACCACATGTGCTGTATAAAATTATATCATTCTGTCACACAGGTTCTCATCAGCTGCAATCTAACTGAAATGACAATCGTTGTAAAAAGTGACAATAACATTAAAATTAATGCATCCAAAATGCAAGTATTACAATTTTTAGTTGAAGTTACCATCAACTTATAACGCTTTCGAAATAATAAAGGAGTGGGGAAAAAAAACGAAAAAATCTAATAAACATTATTACCTTGTAGGTTCACATAGCAACTCAATAAGGTTATAGTTCATAAGATTGAAAATTTGCTCAGTGAGCTAGAAAATCACTAATAATGAATAACCAATCAATGTAATCATCAAAATGCAGTTACCAGAAGAGTGAGAGATTGATTATACTGCCTTTCTGTATGCATAAGTTCTGTTTGAAGTATTTGATTGCAATTGCTTCAGCAAATTGTAGTAAATTTTGTTGTCCTTTGTATGTTTCATATTTTGAGGAATTTGGAAATCTCAACGAAATTACCCGTATCCACAAAGTGTCTCCGGTGATTGTATTTTGTGGATATTTGCTTCCTTTTAGACATAAGTTTCTTGGGATATGCTCTGAGAATCGAATAAAATCTTTTCTCTTTGTTCTTTCGATATGCTTGCCTCCGTAAGTGCACGTAAATTTAAAAACGCAGTTGAAGATGACATCAACTGGCTACATATCCAGTTTAGATTGGCTAATAGAGCATGTGGCGTTGTCTGGTGTTACGGGCTAAGCTGCAGAAGAGCGTGTTTTTATTTCTGCCTTCATTTCCGTTGTCAATCTTTTGTTATACTTCTTCTCCTTTGAATGGGAGACAACTAAACACTTTCTTCTTTTCAACGACAGAGCCAGAAAGCTATGTTTGCCCAGCAGGGTGCAAGAACAATCAGGCTTTGTTGAGAAACGCGTAGGGAAAAATGGGTATCCAAAGGGATTTATGCTAAACCATAGCCAAGGAAAAGACGAGTGAACAAGATACGCAACTGTTGAAAAAAAAGAAAGTGTTTATTTGTCTCCCATTCAAAGGAGGAACAGTATCACAAAAGATAGACAAGAGAATGAAGATGCTCATAGTGCGTTCGTTCAGCTGTCTAGTTGTTCGCCTTATGTAGCTTTCTTCTCAGGGGCAACTAAACTTGTCAATGCACATAGAACTAGCACGGCTAGGTAGCTTATCTTTCACTTGAGCAATCATAACTGGTCGGCTGGAAAATGACAAACAAAGGGTGGCAACAGTATAAGTCCGTTTGACTTAACTAGCCACTGAACTGTACCTTTAGGAACACCTTTCTTTTTTAACTATAGTCGGTTTCCTCTTGCTGTATACACTTACACTTCTCATGTGTCTGCTTACAAATCTACTAAGATAACTCATTTCGGACCAGCACATTGCATAGACATCCTAATTCATCTTCTAAGGAATCATTGGTACAGATCTTTCCTCCTCTATTCGTGAATCATCTGACCAAATCGATTTTCTGTCAGATGGATGCAAAAATGAATTTTATTACTGAAGAGTTAGTATTTCTTACATTATATAAAGATATTGATAATATGGTCTCAATACTGAATGTGTGGTTTCCTTTTCGAATGCTAAATTCTTTCCTAACTTTCGTATGATCTAACTGTAGTTATTTAATTCCACTGCTAATCACCATCCAATTAAAATCTAACTGTAGTTTTTAAACAAACTATCGTTATTATTCCCTTGGGTTCCTAGTGGAACATAGGGCTTCAACAAGACATCTCCACTTTGTTCTAGTTTTTGCTGTTCGCTTCAGCTGGGTTCACAATTTACCATAATCCCTCATCTCGCACAATCTCCCCCATGTCAACCTAGGGCGACCCACTTGTTGCTTCCCATTAGATTTCCACTCGAGGTTATACCTGGTGCATAATGTCACTTGACAGTCTCCTCAACGTATGCTCCATTCTCTCCTACATATCTGCTGAGTGATCAACTAGTGGTTGGTTTGTTTTCAGACTTTGTTGTTCCCAATTCTTTCTGGACATTTAATTTTCAATAAGAAGCGAAGGCAGCTGTTGATAAAAGTCTGTAACTTGTTGGAAATCCCTTCCGTGACACGCAGTGCAAGTTTCTGACCCGTATAGAAGAACTGACTGAATTCACATTTGTGTTGAAAACTTGTGTCTTGTTATTTATGCTGACTGAGTGCAGTGCAGAAGATTTCTAGACTGGTTTCTAGTTGATGAAGGCGTATCTTTCCTTCCCATTCTGACTGGCTTTGATATCTTCTGTTCCGCCTGTAGTTGAAACGATACTTCCTAGATAAGTGACGCAAGTAACCTCATTCAAATCTCTCCCGTTGATGGTGACTGGTACTGGTTGTTGTTGTTGTTGCTGTTGGTTGGATGGTTATCCTCATCACCTCTGTCTTCTCTATGTTCACCTGCAGTCCTGTCTCCGCTGCCAGCTTCTTCAGCCGGTTTGTTGGTTTTCACCTGCCTCTAAGTCTTCAAGTTTGTGTGACATTAAATAAAAATCACCCACGTGCGAAATCCAGATCTTCTACTGTCTTCTTATCGGTGGTCCAGTGGATTCCTGTCTTCTCACTCCCTGTGCACAGTCTAAGGCATAATCCAGTCTACCACGATTAAGAATATCATCGGTGATAATAGACAGCCTTGTCTTACTCTTAGTTATCCGTTGTGGATCACCTGACACGTGGCATTGTCATATAGCCAGCTTCTGAGTGAGGTTGATAAAGACTTGGGCACTGGACACCGTAGTGTTAAAGTAGTTTCCAAACTACTTTTCAGTCAACGCAGTCTATTAAAGGCCTTTTCGAAGCCGATGAAGTTGGCGTACAGGTTTGAGTGGCATTCTATGCTTTGTTGTGTGATGACAATGAGTAGAGTTGAAAGTTGATCAGCACATGATTTGCCTTTCCTGGATCCAGTTTTTTCCGGTGGTTGGTGGAATTCTGTGTCGAATGCATCTTTTATTCTCTCCAGGATGACGCGACTTAACATTTTACTTGGCGTGGACAAGAGCATTATTTCACGTCAGTTCTTGTGGAGGCCTAACTAGGTCGTCTTTCTTTGGTAGCTTGACAAGATAGCTTCTCTTCCAGTCGCTAGGCACCTTTCCGTGCTCCTAATCTTTTGCAATAATAGCGTGAGAATATCTGTCGCAGTCTCTGGGTCCGTTTTCAGTGCTTCGGGTTGGGGGAATTCCGTCTGGCCCTGATGCCTTCCCGATTGAACTCCAGTAGCTTGATTGCATTCAAGACTTCTGCTTTCGTTGGGATTGGTTTCCACTGGGAGGTTGTTGTGTGCGTGCTGTTGGTGGTATTTTTGGGCAAGTTGTAGGTGGATGATCGATTCAACAGTCTTTTGAAGTGATCAGCCCATTGTTTTATTTGTCTCTCATGCTTGATAATTAGGTTCCCTTGACCGTCTTTCATAGGTTTCATCTGTGTTGATCTCTTCCCGGATAGAGAGTGACCTGGTTATCTGATATTATGTTCTTAGGTCTCTTTTACGTCTGACCTGCCCGTTCTGCTTCAGTTGCCATTGTGTCGTAGAATTGTCTTTTGTCTTTCCTAGTACTCTTCTTCACTTCTTTATTCAGTGCAGTGTATATCGAACTAGCTTCCCCTTATTTTGCCATCTTTGTATTGAGTCATCTTCTCCTTAACCATCCTCCTCTCTTCTGTTAGCATCCAGGTATCTGTTGAAAGTCATCCATTGTCTTGTCTCATTTTCTTTCCTAAAATGGCTGTATACTTT